TTTAATTTTCTTGTCAATTTTAACTCTTTGTCCTTCCAAGATGCTCATTTCAGTAATATAAACAGCAAAGCTCACTGTTGTTATATTCAGTACCCATTTCCTTCCCCCAACTCCTTGCAAGAGTTCAAAAGTCTTGGCCCTTTCAGTATAGCAGGTATAAATTAATACCCTTCCTTAAAAGAACATAGCAACAAAGTAGAAACAGACATTTGCAGGCAACAGCCTTTGAAAAGAACTGCAGGGACAAATGGTGACAACTAAGCTGCGGTCAAGAGTAAAAAGGTCAAAGGTACAGACAAGTTTAAGGAATTACAATACTACACATTTGTCTGTGATCCTCCCCTGAGTTCAGAAAAACTGTGTCAAGCCATATTCTGAATAGAATATTGTTAAGAATTTGGTTTTTTAAAAAACTTCCATAAAAATAAATTGGAGAGACATAACAGAATGGACTTATAAAAGTTTGCTTAAAGTCAGCTATATAAACAGCATCTTAAAAACAGATAGCTTAAAATAAACAATTCAGCAGCTAGTGCTCTGTGTGTGGGGGGCAGAGGGGGGAGTCTAAGGTGAAGTAATCATGTTCTTCTATATTAGTGTGCTGACCCTTTGTAGGGCATGAAATTAACTATCAGCAAGTAAAAAATCTGCTACTTGTTAAACTACTTTGCTACACAGAATGGTCTTAAAGTAAAATAGGGGATTGAATTTCTTCTGAAAGATTAACTTGTATAACCTCTCAGCAGGCTTTCCCTATCAATGAACTCTAAGCAAAAACCACTCAGGGTTAATTGGAAATATAGACATTTTGCAGGCATTTATAGAATAATTCTGAAAACTGGACTGGCTAAAAAGCCTTACCTTGACAGCTGTCCTTGAATAACATATTTAGAACTGACCATTCTGAAGTACATCTCAAAAAATAAAACAAAAACCCTAGGATAGAAATGCAATAGGAACAGAAGTGGAGGCTAAATTTAACATGTAAATCAAACTTGACTATAAACTTAATCTTACCACCCAACCTCTACAAAATGTCAGGGATGGAATCTATCTGTAGCATTTTCTATTCCAGCATATAAGTAAAAAATTATTTTGATTTAATGCATGATATGCTTTGTTTCAAGGGCAAAATCTCTAAGAAAAATGCAAACATGAAGAATGAAATATGACATCTTCTATTTCTCTTCAATTTTGCTCATTCCAAATATTCTGCATTTATTTAAAGCTAAAGTTTTATCCCCAAGGAAATATCTTTCTGATATCTTGAAAAGTTATCTGCAAGGTTAAGTACTACCCAGCATAATGGAATAATGGTACCTAGAGACAACATGATTTTGAAAACTGGAGCTTTTAATCACATGTGTAAAGAAGCTAGTATCTTAAACAAGTCTGGGTCTTAAATATGAAAATACTATTAGAAACATGTGCAAAAATCAATGTAGTCCAAAAATCTTTAGTTATATAGATATAATAACAATCTAGATATCATGATAAGAACTGAAAGTGTAACTCCACGAACTTAAGAATTAAAAATAGCAATATTTAAATAGATTTTCGAACAGTGAAGTAACAATGATCCATATTTCAAAAAATATAAATCAAAAAGGTTTCCTCAACATACAGCTATTCTCAAGGTTAAGAATGTCAGAACCTAAGGACAATGTATACTTACAAATAGGCTACCTAGTACTTAAAATGGCAGACAGCTGACCAGCAACATGTTCCAACTCAAAATGGTGGATGGCATTTTCCTTCCTCAAGCTGATGAACTGCTGAAGGCACTCAATGCTTTCATGGGTGTCATGAAGCAGTGTGTGCATTTTTAATATACAGCCTGTTTTCAACAATTTTCAGCAGTTCATGAAAACATTGTGTGGCTTCAGAGGTTCATCATCATAAGGAAGAACTCCATTTGTTGTTTTGAGTCAGATCATTTAGGACAATGAGAGATGAATTATGTAAATTTAATTCAGTTTGAACCAACCATGGGATTGAATTTTAACTGAAGCAGTTTTAACACAAGCACTCATAGATCTTCAGACTTCTATAAAATAAAAGAAGGCTCTTTTTATGAAATTATTCAAACAGAGGTATCTATACCCATGTTTTTTCTTTCTAGAATTTTTGCAATTCCAGTTTGATATTTGAAGAACTATCTTCAGCTGTATGGCTAGATTATAGTCTGAAAGTGTTGTTGATCTCGGTTTTACAATAAAGTATACTTTTTTATACTGAAGAAATATCTGTCAAACGAATTGGAATTCAACACAGACATTTGATTAAATAACCTGTTCTGACTTACATAATTTTTTTACTTAGATTTAGTAACACATCTCATTCTTATTCTGGGTACTGCCTGTAGATTGGTCTGATAAATAGAGAACATTCTGAATCCAATATAAGGGGAATATAATTATTTATTAATATTTCTTTCACTTCTACCCTGCCTTTCTCAAAGCAGTTTTCAAGTACTCAAAGTAGATTTTTAAAAACCCTTCTTCAGTATTTGACCCACAATCATATCACAACTGAAGTGTCATCATATTACTTATAATGGAAACATTCAAATTTTTCTTCCTTTAAAAATTTCTGTAATCAAGGCAAAATCTTGAAAAGAAATAATTTAATTCTTTCTCTCTACTTTTAATGAAACTTTTCAATTAGGAAATGTAAAAAGGTCTGCTTCCTAAAGTTTCTTCATATTATCTTAGCACTTTCCAAAATCCAGAAATTGAAAATACCATTTCCAACTTTAGAATTATTAAATATTTTTAGTAACCTATTTTAAAAAGCTCTTTTACAGTATGAATTTAAAAGTCCAAAAATGAGTGATCCACTTACTGTCTTTTTGATGTTTGGTATACTGAAGATAATTTCAAATGCTACAAACTACCTGGACTTTGCAATCAGGAAGAGGCTGCAACATAACAATTATCAGAAATGTGAAAAGAAACATTTAATGTCTATGTGTTGTAATCTCCATTGACTTTGTTCACAGAACAGTAATAAATGTGATTGTGTAGTTTGAAAGATGTGTATTTATTTAAAGATTTGTGTCTATTTTTCCAGTATTTCTTTAAATAATGGTTAAAAATAAATGAATCAACATAATCATACAATCAATTTATGGTAGAAACATGAAAACAAGTAACTATGAAAACAAGTAAAACAATAAAAAAAAATCCTCAGCCCATCTGAATAAAATAACCTTAATACAATGACAAAGAGTAAGAGAAGGAATCTACCAACATAAGATGTTCTATTATCACGAAACAAGTAGTACCTTTCTCTCAAATCAATTACACAATGTTAGAGATCAATGCTTATTGCAGCAGATTCTCATTAATTCAGATCCAATTTGTGGTAGTGAGCACTTTCTTATTGCCTTGTCATCGCACATATTTTTAAATTTATATTTATCCTATTTATAAGCCATCTAACTCCAAAAATGATTCAGGACTATCACAAAATTTCAAAAGGGAATTCCAAACAAAAGCATGAAAACGGGGGATAGAGGGAATTACATTGTAGTATAAAACATTTGGGAAAAATAGTGCAGGGAAAAATCCCTAATATTTTGGTCACCTGTTTCCTATTTATACTATTGGAAGGGAGTCAGGCATATTCTACAAAGAGCATGCTCAATTCCTCCTCTTTTTCTAATGCCAAAGTGGGATTATTATACTAATCCACCAATCCTTTCATGTTGCAGCAGGATGATACATTGTGAACTGATCTCAATACTTTTCAACCTGAAAAAAAAAAAAAAGCTGCTGATGGATTTGGCCCTCCAGAAAACAGGATGTATGTTGCAGATAGACTGCCATAGCACCTTTCATTTTGAAACTCCCCATGCCATTCATGGGGAGGAAGATATGAAGAGATGACATATCCTACCCACCTTCCTTGGCACTAGTGGCTGCAGGAAAATACTTCAGATGGGAACTTACATGTGACTCGCAGACTGCCCATATGCAAAATGCTACACTGTATAAACTCAAGACAGTAATATTTAATAAGATTTTACATGGAATAGTTTCTATTAAAGTTTTCCACTTCTAAATAAACATCTTAGGATAGGACCACATAAATCTTTTTCGTATAAAAGCAATGCTGCTTAGAACTGGAGTCCCTGCTGGGATGGTTCACTTATATAGGTGTCTGATCATTATCACAATCCAAGGAGAGTCCTTTGGGGATTTAAGCACTCTCACACTTCTACCACCCACAAACAGCAAGATTAGTGCATTGGGCCCATATCCCAGTGTTACACTAGCCAGAGAAAAAATATTATCAAGTGAATGAAGAAAGAGTGGTATGCAATAAAACAGCAATAAAAATTGAGCTCTCGGGTCTAGCCAAAAGGAAAACTGTTGCCAGCACTTCTCCTTTGCTTGCTCTGTTTGATGCAACTAGTGGGCTGGGCTTGTTGGATCAAATCACTTTTGAGATGTCCAGGAAAAACATCTAAAGTTGGAACATCTTTGATTCTTGTAAAAATAATTGACCCTCCTTTCCAAGAATTCGTTGAAATTTTCTCTTTGGAAAGCACAGTAAGAACCATTGGACTCTACTTCAGGCACTAAAGAATTCAGCGTGTGAGTAAGAATTTGAATAAGCTATGTTAGCACTATAGAGCAATAACAGCTCCTGGAGAATATTTAGTTAAGTTTTGCATGCATTTAAAAGCAGTACAATACCTACAGCTCCCCACATCTCCCCACATCTCCCCTGGGCTGAGGGGGGGGGGGGGTTGATAAAAAAAAAATCCCATGACTGGAGGTGGACTGAACGCTGGGTCTCCTATTCCTAATCCAGCAGCTTGACTACTATCACGCTGGTTAGTTGTTTTTACTCGTTCTTCGGAGTGAGGGAGGGGGATAAGGCCTGCAATCTCTCGGCGAAGGTAAAGTAAATGGCAATGGAGTCCAAGCAGAAGAAAAGGGAGCCAAATCCTGACCCGACTGTGAACCATTTCGCCAGCCTCCATTCCTTACCTCCGATAATGGTACGGATAAGGGAGGCGTGTCCCGGGCAGTCCACCAGGGTCAACTGGAGCAGCCCTGGCTCGGGCCCCAGGTGCGGAGGCAGCTCGGTGCAGAGGCAAGAAAAGCCCAGGTCCAGGGTGATGCCCCGAGCTCGGCTCTGCGGCGCCCTGTCGAAAGCGGCCGTGGAGCCGATGGTACTGAGAGCCCGGGCCAAGGCGGTCTTGCCGCTGTCGATGTGGCCCAGGACGCCCACGTTGACATTCAGGCGGCGGAGGTCGCCCGACTTGGGGGCAGCAGAATCGGCGCTCGCACCGGCCATAGATGCCTCTGGCTCTCGCTCTCTATTCACTTCGCTTCCAAACTGGTCCGTTTCCCAACAGCACCCCCGCGGCAACACGGTCCGTGTTAAAGCAGTTCCTGCAAAGCGGCAGGCGCAGGGAAAAAGCTCTTTCAAGAAATCAGCAATAGACCCAAGGAAAGCCTGAAGTTGTGGCTGGTTTTGCCAAAGCCTTTTCGGCTTCCGAATAAAACTCGACTATACGCTTACGTTGTCTTCAAAACTAAAGGCACACATAAAAATTCAAGACACTATCCATAACATTCTTATAAAACGTCCCACTGGGACAACCGTGACCTGGATGACTGAGAATCTCCACACTTCTTATAAAATGCATTTGAAGAAATACCTATATTCATATAACTATATACTGTACTTTCTCATACTTGTTCACACATTTCAATAAATTCTGGTGCAGCACTTAAAGAAATACCAAGAAAGGCATACAATAAAAATTGAATGTTACTTTGTTTGGCTCTTTAAAAATGAGATTAATTTAAAGAAAGTGAATAGAAACATACAACCCCAGTTTCTCATTTCATCAGCTTGCACAACTGCAAATAGTCTTTTTTAACTGATGAAGGATTTCCCATTTGTACAAATACAAAAAGTATCTGTTGATTAATGACATGCTACACTGATTTCCTGGCTTCAGAACTATTCATCTATTTCATTAATGTACAAAGCTGAAAAATAAAACACAAATAGAAGCTGATAATATATTCCTTTTTCTCATTGCTGTTTAATTATCTATATTATCTATGTTATAGTTATATATTAATATATATCAATTGTTCTTTATTATATAGACTGTGTTATATTATAGCCTGAACATTTTCTACTTTATCATCCTAGACCTTTGAAAATTGACCTCCAGCAAAGATATGGAAGAGACCAAAGAAAATATAAACTTAGTGTTGGTAAGATTTAAAAAGTGCAATTCTTATAAATCACAAATAAAGAAACAAAAGAAATCACAAAAATGTTTTTCTCTTTTGTTAATTTGATGTAATATCTACCTCTCTGTTTTCCTTTCCTGTATGTTTTGTAAAATACTGTTATTGCTAACTTTTTCAAAACCTCCTGGGAGAAAGGGCAGGAAGTCAGATCTTTGGGATAAATTAAAAATGTGAAGATCACTCACACAATCTTCTTTCTCCAAAATTAATATACTGTTCGACAGTTTCAAAGTTCAGTATGTCCCACTGAAATTTGGAAGCTTATGTGACTCTGGGCTATGTCCTGTAACCTCAAACCTTTAGTCTAGTAAAAATAGAAGTTTCCAGTCCCTCCTTGGCTATCACATGACATCTGTGTTCAGTAATAGGTGGGCTGTTCAGACACACATGTACCGTACGTGAGTTAGCTTGCAGGAAGAATAGCAGAAGATACATTGATTAAATAAATTGATGAAAGCTATAGAGCAAGGGTCACATTTTTAATATCATTACTTTTCTTTTTATTTTAGTACTAAAGTACTAAAAATAGCAATACCACCACCATCATTTTAATAAAGTTTGGTTAAGAGATAAATGCTTATATTTGATTATTCTTTTTCAGAAAGATCCTCCCTGGTTCCTTCCAATGTAAATTTTATTCACAACCAATATTTAGAAGGAAAGTAGGTGGTATTTCAGGTTTTTTCCTAATAATGCTGATTTATGTCAGATGCCAGAAAGTTTGTTTGAAATTCTTGCTTAAGCATTGCTGTAGCTATTTCTCAACCTAGTAAATGAACAATAATCCTTGTGTGGTCTGAAATACGTTTTTAAATACAACACATGAAAACTATGAAATGAAATAATGAGCTATTATTGTAAAATGGATTCTTCTTTGACACAGTGAATCAAATCAACAGTGTTTAAGATGAGAAATGAACAATGCATGCAACGTAGTTTAAGTTTATGATTTGAAACATATTTTCTGCTGCTATTTCAATTTTTGATGCCACCTTCTCCATTCATGGTATTCTTAGAAAGTCACTTTTTGAATTAATTAAAACTATTCACTATGGCTGCAATCTATTCAAACATGAGACCAATTTATGGCCTGAAGCAACTCTAAAGGTAAAGGTTTCCTCTTTCTGGTTGTGTCCGAATCTAGGAGGTAGTGGTCATCTCTGTTTCTTAGTTGAGGGAGACAGCATTGTCTGAAGACATTTCCATGGTAATGGAGCCAGCATGAGCATATACTGAGGTGCACGGAACGCTTTTACCTTCTCACTGAAGGTGTACCTATTTATCTACTTACATTTACATGCTTTCAAGGTGAACAGGAGCTGGGGCAAGTAAAGGGAGCTCATCCCATCATGTGGCGCTCACATCTCGAACCTGGACTGTCAGCTTGGTAGCTGACAAATTCAATGTCTTTACCCGCTAAGCAACTCCCAAAGCAACTCTGAATTACTTTAAATCTTTCAGTTTAAAAAGAATGTTAAACGTCATTCTTCTGTCTCTTCCTTCGTATCTTGATAGGTTTCTTATTCTTTTTTTGTAATAGCATTTGATTATGCGATTATGTGCCATCAAGTCACATTAACATTGAGCGACTATATAGACAGACCTTATTCATAATGATGTGTGCCCAAACTGGCCTTTCAAGTCTCCCAATAACACACTCATCAGCACTGTATTAGGTATATCCTTCTTGCCCTCTTTTGTACCCTCTTTTTCTCTTTTCATCCATTTTCCCCAGCACTGTAGACTTCTCAAGGAAGTTAAGTCTTCATAGAATGTATCCAAAATATGAAAAGAGTATCATTTCTCTCGAGTGAGAACTCCGAATTGATTTGTGATCCATTTGTTTGTTTTCTTGTCTATATATTGTATTCCCAAGAATCTTCTCCAACAGCAAAACTAAAAAGTGTTGATGCTCTTTCTATTCTGCTTCTTCAGTGTGGAACTTCTGCTTCTTAAGGGACATGCATAAGCGCACCAGCATGCCTACCATCCCTGTCCAAATGTTTTCTTTTATTCATATCCATTTCATGTATTAATAATCATGTTTATGTTTGCTATAAAGTGTCACAGGGAAAACCAATGTCTGCACAATTCTGACAAGTCACAGCATTGAAATATCTTTTCCAAGGCCTCTATTGCCATCCCACTAATTGATGTACTTCTTGTCACTGGTATGGTCTTCTTTGATTTTAATTCTATTTTTTAACTGTGCTCCTTGACTTTCACTACTAGATCATTTTGTTTTTTCAGTTATCAGTCCATGGTCACCAACATAGTGCATGTTACTCACATTTCTTCTTTTGGTTTTAAAGCCACGCTCATATTCTTTCAATCCAGTCTTCTTCAATATCTACTCAGCATGTAAGTTGAATAGATAAGGAACAAGTATAAAGCCATGTCTCACCTCTTTGTCAAGAGGTAGTCTTTTTCATCATATTTCCTTTGGACTGTGGCTTCCTGTCCTATGAATACATTTCTTTTTGTTACTCTTTGGGTTTCTCAATTATCAATTACATTAATGTCTCTTGTTCATCAACTTTTTCTAAAGCCAGGTTGAATATATGTCATCTCCCATTTCATGTAGGGCTCTACTGCTTAAGATAATCCAAAGCATTATTATGCTACCATGTTAAGCATATTATGAGATAATATTCAGCAAGATCACAGCTCACCAGCTCAAATCCCCCAGCAACTAAGACTAACCAAGCCCCCACCTGAACAGAACACACCCCCAGCCAATCAGAACACAGCCAAACCCCCAACCAATGAAAACACACCCCCACCCAATCAGAACACAGCCAAGCCCCCACCCAATCAAGTCACACCCCCACTAGCAGTTAAAAGGAAGAAGCAGCTGCAAGCTCACATTACTCTGAGAAGCACAAAGCTGAAGACACAAGCCTGAAGTTGATGAATGAGACTTCATCGAAACGTCGCCTAGATACTTCCAATTTTACATGGGAGAAAACCCAAATAATCAAAGATCCATACACACACACACACACACACACACACACATGGAATATATATATATGGAATATACATATATATGTCTTCTATTGTAGCTTTGTAATAGCAATCTTCACTTTTTTTAACCCCCTTAAAAATGATCCTTGGCTTACCTTTTAAGAGTTCATTTGTGCAAAGACAGTCTATACATATCTAAATATTGAAACTAACTATTGTAAGCATTATTAAATATCTCATTTGCATACAAATTATTTTTGTAAAGTAAGAGTTATAATATGAAAACCAGAATTAGTATATTGTAATACCTATAATAAAACTCCCACCATTCAGTCAGCAGCATCACTGTGTCTAATTTAACTTATAGTGCTTTTCCAAAAAAACCCCTTCAATTTCCACTAGTTTTGTTTTAAAACAAAGAAACGATATGCTTCGTACTATCTATTGAGTTTGGGACAGTCAACTATTGATAAAGACCATAATCGTCTTTAAAGTCCTTCGTCTTTTGCTATGGGCAAAAACTCTTTTCTAACATAACTTTATTTTCCAATCAAAAGATTCCTACCCTGTAAATGGTAACATATCTAATAATATTATTGATATAACGTGTTAGAATTACAGCGCAGTAATTAAGCGCTGCAACGAAAGCGCTTTCCAAATACTTTTTCGCCCCTTCTTATGCGGTACTCATCTTCTATAGTTAATGGTGAAACCGGAGCATCTTCTAAAGTGCACAACGCTGAATTGTCCGTCCAGAGCCTAAATTTATACCTCCCTGAGTGACAAAAGGTTTGTCCAAAGACAAGAGAGATTTATCGAACTCTAGCCAATAGAGAGTAAGGGGCGGGGCATGAAACGGTTAGCCGCCGGGAACCTTGGCAACACGCGGGTGCTGGCATTAACTCCGCGAGGGCGACTGAGAGGGACGGACTGAGTCTATCGGGCCTTCCTTGGCTTCTAATCGCCGCCAGCGGAATGAAGATCGAGGAGGTGAAAAGCACTTCGAAGACCCAGCGCATCGCGGCCCACAGCCATGTCAAGGGGCTGGGGCTGGACGAGAGCGGGGCGGCCAAGCCGGCGGCAGCCGGGCTTGTGGGGCAG